GCAATCGAGGGAAAGATGAATGCGGCCAAGTACAGGGATATCCTGGACGAAAACCTTTTCCAGAGTGCTCTGGACCTCAGACTGGGCCGAAGGTTTACCTTCCAACAAGACAATGACCCTAAGCACACCGCTAAAATAACGAAGGAGTGGCTTCACAACAACTCCGTGGCTGTTCTTGAATGGCCCAGCCAGAGCCCTGGCTTAAACCCAATTGAGCATCTCTGGAGAGACCTGAAAATGGCTGTCCACCAATGTTACCATCCAACCTGACAGAACTGGAGAGGATCTGCAAGGAGGAATGGCAGAGGATACCCAAATCCAGATGTGAAAAACTTGTTGCATCTTTCCCAAAACGACTCATGGCTGTATAGATCAAAAGGGTGCTTCTACTAAATACTGAGCAAAGGGTCTGAATACTTATGACCATGTGATATTTCAGTTTTTCTTTTTTAATAAATTCGCAAAAATTTCTACATTTCTGTTTTTTTCTGTCAAGATGGGGTGCTGAGTGTGAAAATGGCTGCAATGAAACAAAGAGTGAAAAATTTAAAGGGGTCTGAATACTTTCCGTACCCACTGTATATATGAACAAGACATATTAAGTGCAGCATGTTGCCTAACTGCACATTACCCTTGGACTAAAATGTCAATCATTTATCACATCAGCTTACTCACAGAGTCATTTTCCTCTAAGGCCAGTATTTAAAGTGAGATCCACCCACGATGCAAACACAATCCACATAGTTTGGTAGGTTAAATGCTAACAGTGTGAGGGTAAAAGCCTGTTTAGGTGTATAAGAGGTGATTGATTTGGTGGTTTGTGCCCCCTTGAGGTTGACGGATCTGAATGCCCACAAAGTTGAAACAGTTCACATACCTCTGCAGCTGCCTGTCCACAGAGAGAAGGTTTCTGGCATCTCATATCAAGCCCATTCTAGTGGTACTGTCCTCTATGGTGACTTTTAAAACTTTTAGTAATGTCAGACCACAAAGAGTGCTTCCTCATTTTTCATGTACGAAAGTTTAATAAAGAGACCACCTGGCCTTATACTGAACGTGTCTTTTCTAGTTTCAGTTATCTTGATTATTTAGTTTTACTCATCGCTGCAGCAGCAGCATTGTGAAATCTCAGGAACAAGTTGTGTTGTTCTACTGCTTTTTGGATTTTTGCTTCTGATGTTGCTTCACTTTGGTCTGAATGCCAGACTGCTTCTTGTATCCAATAGTGCTTACAGTAGATCATTCTGCTCCCACAGCTTGATGCTAACCGAGTGGGGCTGTGACAGCATATGTGTGGGTTGTAAAACTGGAATGCTAGTGGAACTGGGCATCTGTGTGTTCAATGATGCCATTACAGAAGACTATACCTCCCCCAGCTCTTATCTAAAGATGACACAACACATCATCACAGCCAGACTCACACATGTCACTCTGTCTGTAGAGAGAATGGGTGCCATGAAAGACGAAATCATTATTGAATTTTTTTAAAGCACAAATGTCACTAATCTAAGCCTTCACATGCCAGTACTGTCACTGCCCACTATGTGCCCAATCTTTTTGATTACAAAAATGAAAACCCTGGGTGCTTTGTAACAGACTGCTGTTATTTATGTTGTGCTGTATTGTAATATACTCAATATATTTCACGCACTTCAACATGACACTACAGGCGGATGCTCTGTTTTGCTTACTACAGATATCTGGATCAGGTTTGTATAATATAGCTGTGTAACACTAATTTCACATGAACGTCAAGGACCCTATAAGAATTCTAAATTGATGTCAATAAAGGTAACAACCTGCATGTACTTTCTCAATGTTATAAACACACACAGATGAATAGGTTTCTGGAGGTAGGTCAGTGCATGAGAGCTCAGGTGCATCCGTGATATGGGAATGCGCCAATTTGGCTCAAATTTGTGCTGTGACTATCGAACCAAGTGGATCTAACCTGACATATCTCTCTCTAGCTTGCTCTGTGTGTGTGTGTGTGTGTGTGTGTGTGTGTGTGTGTGTGTGTGTGTGTGTGAGATAGAGAGAAAGAGAGTATGAAAAAGATAAACAGAGACAAATATGTATAATCAGAATAAATGTTCAGTATAAGCCATATAGATTAAAAGTAAACATCTCAAATAGCAAATAAGTAGAGGCTTGTCCCTCTATTCCCATCCTTCATGTATCTAATTATCAACCAACCGTGAATGTCTCCCACTGACAAAATGCGTCCACATGGGTTAATTACACAACAACGGTTACAGTATAGTAGCCATTTAGTATTTTCACATTTATCTAAATTACCTCTTCCATTTCAACTACATCAGTACCTCCAACTCCTGACTAGTATCTCTGGATGGTCAGAGTCTGTGACAGCTGCTGTGACATGGCTGCAGGGCAGAGAGAGATATCTGGCCCTGGGGACAGAATGATATGGACAGTGTATGTGTGTGTGTGTGTGTTTGCCTCTGTTTAGACCGGTGTAATTTACAGTATATGATGAGTAAGGCCAAAATATTCATTCATTTTCAAAGCTGTTGGTATGTAGACTATGTATACAGTGATATACAATTGAAAAATAGAATGTGAGGACAACAGTAAATGGGCTGTACACATACACTCAACCACTCAAAGCACTTTATAATACATGTCACATACACCCACATTCATACAATGATGGCAGTGGCTGCCATGTGAGGTGCCAACTGCTCATCTGCGGAACTAATCATTCACACACATTCACACAGCCTTCAGGAGCAATTTGGTGTGCAGTATCTTGCCGAAGTACACTTCGACATGTAGACTGGAGGTCAATGAAATAAGATTGAGGTACAGTATGGCCAACGAAAGTGCTTTGCAAATTGGATATAGATGTATATATTAAATATTACAAGTGACTTTTTTATATACAGTCTACTCTTCCTCTCTTTATCTATACTTTAGTCAGGAGTGGTTGCTGGCTTACTCTACTTTGAGGAGTGCTGCATGGTTGATGAAGCATCTGTCAATTTATGCTGAGCCTCACTTGCCACAAATAAACACATGATGGTATTTTCAAATCAGACACACCTCATCTTCCATTCATGTCACACTTAGGTAGCAACATCTAATCTACTTTGATTGCCACAGTCAAATTTTAATAACTAATGTTTAAAAACAGATACCAGACAGTGGCTGGTTATCATTCTGAGTGAATGAGTTCATGAGGCCGCAAACATAAAAAAACAACAACAATGCAACGCTTACCACGGCTGTAGCCTCATGGGACTTTAAAAGTGATAGTGCAGCATGTTCACTTTCTGTATGCCTGTGGAATAAATGTTCGGAGGGGAATTTGGGCTAATGCACCATGACAAGACGACAATTATGCAAGCACCTGCTTGTTTCCACTGCACCTGCCACTCTCCTCGGTACTCACTTCTTTGCCCCCTTCAGCTTCATGTCATTTTAAATTGGATCAATTAGATGTATTTTTGTTTCTACATTAGTTTTTTTGTGTTACTGGACCGCAACATTTTTCTGGACAGGGACAAAATTTGAACTACCCACTGTATCAGCAAAAAGCTCTTCCCATCTTTCAATGAATATAACAACACATGAGACATGCAACTTGGATGAAAGATATATTTAGCATATAAAAAATTGGCAGATGTAAAAGTGTCCTAAGGTCAGTCAAAACAGAAGGCAGAACAATGCTACTGAGGACGCAGCTCTAACAAGCACCAATTCTAATCACTTTGTTTTTTGTGCGTATTATTTATTTGTTTATGTTTATTTTCCTGCTCTCTCCTGGAGTAGCATTAAAAGAGATTGGAAACTTGCCATCCAAGCAATGTGTGTGTGTGTATGTGTGTGTGTGCGGAGGAATAATGTATATAAGTGTATTAGGGAAGTGTAACAGCATAAAGTGTTGGAGAGATGTAACAGCAGTATCACAGTAATTTATGAGACAGTTTGGGACAGGCTAACCCCTTTACATTTAAGATATATTTTTTCTGAAATATCCCCTCAAGGAGTCATTTGAAAGAACCAAAGCAGGAGCATTAGCATACTTATCTAAGGGTATTGAAATGGGTACTAGAGCACCTTAGAAAGGACAATTCAGACAACAGATTACTCTCCCTGGATTGGTTTCAAAATATGGTGAAAGACTTGGAAACCCACATATATCATAAAATAACTGGTACAGGTTGCATTCCTACTTAATCTCCTTCAGTAAAACACTCAATAAATGTATAAAATAAACATATCAGATTTCTAGGCTCCATTTTGGGGGATGAGGATATTTAGTGTTAAATTGACTGGGCTGTAAGAGCCAGTATCCCTCTCATTTAAGAAGACACTGACGGAAGCTGTCCTTGGTGCTGATTGGTGGTTTGTAATGCAGATGAAAATAAAAGAGCTCTCCAAGGTTCTGAAAGCCTGACTGGACTAGGCTCATGCCTGCGGCTCATTTAGAATTCCAAATAGATCTGTGTGGTATCAAGGAACACACACACACACACACACACACACACACACACACACACACCACCTGAAATTATTTATACAAGAGTTGCCTTGAATGCACTGTAGGAAAAGTGCCATCCATGATTACAACTTTCTTCTATAGACCCTCAGTGTGGTCACTGATACTGTATGAATAGTGTATTTGCTCCTCGCTGGCCGGTTTGGGACCTCGGGATGTCACCTTAGGTCTAATTTTGTGATTCCCTGCATTGCATTGTGTTAACTGCTGCATCACATAATTTCGCAGTAATTGACAAAGGGCTTACACCAGCACCCAGTACTTAGACCATCACCATCTTAACATAGAATAATTTTACAATATTAAAACAATTTTTTTATTAACAATAATCACGTGATATAAAGCAATAGTGTGCTAGCAGTAAAAAATAAAACCACCATTTTTCACTGTAGCACCAGGCTAAGCAGCCCCCCCCCCCCCCCCCCCCCCTCACACACACACACACAGTCTATGCAGCTCTGCTTCCGCTTGGTGAAACCACGCATGTGTTGCTCCCTACTGCAGCAACGTGCATCAGTTCCTCTCTGACCCCAGCGTTGATCTGCATTCAAACTGAGGCTCCGCTGCTTTTCTCAGCTGCTCGATATTACTGTAGCTTAGAGGGGGGGCTTCGCCGTCTGAGGCAGTTTTAAGGCCCTGCTAGGCAGTCGATTCGGCAACAGCAAAAAAACAAAACAAACACACACACAAAAAAACAAGCGATACGAAATCCAAGCATTCGGCTCGCATCGATTTTGTTTTGGCTGCTTTCACTCCACCGCACGTCCGCCTCGGGTCTAGATTTGCAGACCCGCTCCTACTAACGTGCGTAATGTATGTAGAGAGGAAACACAGTAAATAGACGGACACGTCCATCTGCAATAAAGAGGAAACGAAGATGGTGATGATGGCTTCACCAAATGTAGCCTCCAAATGCTCGACAGCAATGGCGAAGCCTTCCCTCCCCTTGAAGCTGTTTCTCTGGGTGTTTATTGTCGTTAATCTCCCTACAAGGTAAGACATCGTTGTGGGATATTTCCTCTAAAAAAACATGATTCTGTGTCGGCTCTGTTGGGTAGCGTGTTCCTTATTTTAACAACGTATCCTCTTGCTAAACCTAAAGCCAACATAAACCTGCTGTTAATGGGAATCCTGGACGATTAGGTCGCTGAGTGGAATCTAGTTTTAGTAAAAAGCCTTGGCATGTAGTGTATATATCACGAGTATAACTGTGGTTTGACATGGAAGTGTGACATTCATGTTTTTTTTGTGAGACACAGCGACACATGCATCGCATTACTGGGAGATTTTGTGTCCATTTTTATTTTGTTTTTTATAGAAAACAAAAGAACTGCTACAGACTGCCTTAAATATTTGTTGCTATGGACATCAGATGATTTAACACCGGTTATTTTTGCAGATCACCATTTGTCCAGGATCCCTCACAATCTGTCCGGCGTTAGGAATAGCATAGTGGCAGGCTAATTTGCTTGCAGCTAAGGCTGCATATAGTCTTTGCTAAGCTGTCTTTAAGGATCAAGTCAATTCCAAGAGCCAAAGCCTCATTATGGAACGCGTGTGTCAGATGTGGCCGAACTAGAATAGCCATATGCAAACAGTATTTTGAAATAAAGGCTACTTGAATATGAATCGGCTACGTTTCATCCCACGTATTTGAAATAAAAAAAGAAGCAATTCAAAATGGCAGACAATCACAAAGGGAATACAAGTGTAAAGGCACAATAAGGACAAGGATAACATATGAACTAATCTTTGTCTTGCGCAAACACACGCACGCACGCAGGCATTCAGCTTGAACTGAGGTGCAGATTTGAGAGAAGCTGTTTGGTTGTCCCTGTCAAGACATTATTCTCGAGTACTAAGATAAGAATAGTCAAGAGGAAGGATGGCTAGGCTCCTCGCATGGCTTTCGTCTTGTGCTGCTGGAGGGTGAAAAATGGAGGAAGATAAATCAGCCGACATACAATCACTGTCATGCTTATGGCAACCTCAGGGCTCCCTGCCCAGCTTACATTGTCAGGCCTGTGTGTTTCTAATTGTGTGCACTAGTAGTGTTCACAATATGCTTGAGTAGACACAGCACCATGTCCCATTGAACTGCAGCCAGGATTGAGAGATATGAGCAGGTTATGGATACTTCTTGAGTGTGAGCTCTTTATGTAAACACGTGTAGAGGTAATAATATGTGTGACTCAAACCTGTGTACTGCATAATGGTTAAAAGACAGGTATTGCTCTGTAAGTTGCATTGAAAGTAATTTGTGATTCAGACTTACATAAGACATCTCTCAAGGCCTTGGACATGCTTTCAGTAATCTCTGCTACTTTGTGACTCATTGACAGTTACTGTGTGTAGTGATGTCAGACATTAACCCCGACGTAAAGTCACTGTTTTACACCAAAGGTATCACAGTATTGAGGTTTGGCGCCACAACCTGTAAGTAGACGTAAATCATGTTGTTTTGGCATAGGCCTATTATTCCATCAGTAGTCAGTAAGTAGGCTTCAGATGTAGGCCCAGGATACACTGGGAGAGGTTGTAAACCATGAGATCATAGGCATGACAGAAGGAAGTGATGTCAGAGTAAGGAAGCTCTCCTCAGGTCATCTAATAGGGTTATTGTTTGCTGTTCTGCAAACTCACCTAGGGCAATTGGGTTGCAGATGAAATTTATTGCATAACAATTTGGGACACATTATAATGATATAATTATATATAATAATATAATTTTTAAAACTTACCTAGAACATATTTTGATATTATTTTAAAATCCCCATTGATCCACGAGAGACTATATTGGTTTTATGAACGAGGACACTGGATATATGTACACGGGGCATTAGCTACAGTAAATTATATTTCAGGATTGTCATTAAGCTTCCATTAACCCATAGTAGTTTTTAGTGACATTTTTAACATTTGGTTATATTGAATAAGAAATATATTTTCCTCAAATGTATAATTATGCATTTGTTATGTAACTCTTAGGTTATCTGGCCATTAACAATGTATTTTCTCCATAGAAAGTAATGAAAAATTCTCAGTACGGCACATTTTCTCTAAATCTTTCAGGGTTTTGAAACAACACAGCTTTAATAATTCTCTGATGTTATTGTTTTTATTTGAACTATATCCCTCATCACCAAAAATTTCAATGTTAAACATCTGTAGTTGATTCAGTGTGTCAAAGTCAGTGATGCAGGACTTCTATAGGATAACACAAGCAATAGAGTGCTACATTTAGCTGTGGCTTAAGAGAAATATCCCATAACAAGTAACAGATACCTTGCCAACAACATATACACCCAAACAGTCATCTGCAGTTGGCATAATTGTAGTATATAAATTAAATCTGTCATCAGTTGCTTAAACATGAGACTACTCATTCTGCAGATGTAATTTTCAGGCTAAAGTTAGCTCACTAGCAAGAATATGGTATGGGCATAGTACATTAAATGAGGATGGTACATAACAGTTATCACAGCTGATAAAAATGAAAATAGACTTTTATAGACGTATTCTTTTGAGCTGCCATAACTGAGGATGATGTGGGACAAATTACACAAGATAAATGTTATGCCAATTTTATGAATTCAATCCTGTCCATCCTACCACTTGTTGCATTCCAGTTATCCATATACTGCATTAAGTCTTATCAAATGGGCAGTGTTTATTGTAAGTGCTGTTCCATCACTTTAAACAGGAAACTACAGTGCATTGGACTCAATCAAGCTATCATACACTATCTGTGTCTCGTCATCATTTGGAAAGGGTTGGGATGCAATATAATTATGACAAACTGTCAATCTGTCATGTATCCCATAATAACTACCATATGTATTTATTTCTCAGGAATTGTGAAATGTAGTTGATAGCACACAAATCTCAGTCTTCTTTTTCCTATGTTGATTTAAGACAGTTTGACAGGACAGTAGAAGATGACAGTCAATGCTTGTAGCTGCCTCCTGCATTTTCAGATGGAAAATAGTGTGGGGGGCAGCAATAACAGTGGTTAGTACTCCCATTTACTCAGCCCAGTAAGAATCGCAATCAAACTGAAGTAGGTTCATGGCTATTGGCACATAAAATGCCTAAGACAGTGTCCTATCTAAAGTTTTTTCACTGTGGCCATCCCTGCTGTCTCAGCCCCAGTTCTATCTTTATCCAGAGAGATTCTCTAAAGAGAGACCTAATTGGCTACCCTTAATCCAAAAAGGTTTGTGCATTCCTATTTAAAGGACACAAGTACACAGCAGGTGCATTTAGGATCCTAAGACTAGTCCACCAATGTTTTGTTTCGTTCTGTGGTAATACATATGATCTGCTTTTGTGTGATAGTTTATTGCATACGGACCTGTATTTGAGAACCATAACTGCTGATGCTGTTTTTTGCAAATTGACAGCCTGACTGATTAAACACAATTTACATATTTAAATGCTCAGTTTTTTAATTAGTAAAAAGTCGCCATTGTACTCATAGTAGAGCTTGTGAAAGGAAGGTTTTAGCAACAACCTGATGAGCAAGAGTGGTTTGTTGTGCTGTTGCTATTGGGGAAGGACCAGTTTCATGTCAGTTAATAATAAACATTCCATTTGGTTCTTTATTAGCTGCAATTTAAACATGCAAATATGGTAGCTTAAGGAAACTTGCTGTGATACTAATGGTAGGCACAGCCATTTCCATAGGTGATCCTGCTATCTTTACCCTCCTTAGACTTTCCTTTGAACATGTAAAACTCTGCAGGGGATGGGATGGTTCTCTGCTGCTTTGCATGAAACCTGAGAGGAGATTTGACTTGAGACCTGTCCAATAGCAGAGACAGATTTTGACTGGTGCATATAGAGAAGATGAGGGTGCTTCTTGATGATGGCGCTAAATGTGAAGGGGTAGAATGCATGAAACAGATTGTCCTCGATGAGGGTAGCTGTGAACACAACACTTAACTCCAGTACTCTCCATTATTGCATCCACAGCCACGGACATACATATGCATGAAATACAAACACAAACACACATACTAGCGCGGACGCGCGCACACACACACAGGCGCAGAACTCTCTGTGGATCTTCAGGTACCGAATTAGTAGGCAAAATCTCAGATCTGCCTGCAGTGGAGAACACATGGCTCTGCCTTTGATGTGCTCTTCTTTGGAACATTTCCATATACACAGAGATACTCTGTGAGATGAATACAGATGATAAAATTGCAGCAACCTGAAAAAAAGCTATTTTGAAGTTCTCACACCCTTCTGTAGTCTGTTGATCTATCTGTTTGTCTGTCCATTTTCCGTCCGTGCCAGACACAGAACTCCCTGGATATATTTTTTACAACATCCATTAAGGCATATCTATAAGTATCCACCTGAGTAAAATAATTAAAATTTAATGTTTTAGGCACTTGTGTTATGGTGGATATGGATGGCACTTAATGCAGTCTAAGGAGTACTGGTCAAAACATTATTCTTTGCACCTAGCCAAAGAACACGAGAAAGCTATCAGTGCTTCTATCATCGTGCTTTACCATGGAAACAGTGTCCTTTTTTCCTCACCATCTACTTCTTTATTATTTCATTCAGAAGTCTGTTTTCCTCTCATTTCTCTAAAGCCTTGCTGTAACCTCACAGCTGTTTTCAAGGTTGCTCTTTTATGCTGTTGGCCACCCCCCTGATCTGATTCAGTGGCTGTTGGAGGAAGTTATCCAGAGCGCTCATGCTGGAGGTGCACAAGTTATCCAGAGCTCTCACGTAAACATTTTCCTAACATTTCTTCCTTGGAATCCATCTCTATTTGTATCTATCCATTCATGTATCACTTTTCCCCTTTGGACACAGCCTTGCTTCTGATGCAGTTTGCACCCAAACAAATCTGCTATTTAACAAAGAGCCGCAAATGCAAGTTTTCTGTCATCTCAGGCACAACTTACATGTAATTACTGAAGTAGGCTTTTCTTTAATGCATGTACACACATTGGTTATTGCACGAATAGCAGAAG